AACCCTTAAAAAAATCTTTAAAAAAAATCCACGTTCATGGCTCGATAACCCTTAAAAAAATCTTTAAAAAATCCACGATCATGGCCCAATAACCCTTGAAAAAATTCTTTAAAAAAATCCACGTTCATGGCCTGATAACCCTTGAAAAAATTTCTTTAAAAAAATCAAGGTTCATGGCTCGATAACCCTTGAAAAATTTTTTTTTTTAAATCCACGTTCATGGCTCGATAACCCTTGAAATTTTTTTTTTTTAAAAAATCCACGTTCATGGCCTGATAACCCTTGAAAAAATTTCTTTAAAAAAATCAAGGTTCATGGCTCGATAACCCTTGAAAATTTTTTTTTTTTAAATCCACGTTCATGGCTCGATAACCCTTGAAAATTTTTTTTTTAAAAAAATCCACGTTCATGGCCTGATAACCCTTGAAAAAATTCTTTAAAAAAATCCACGTTCATGGCCTGATAGCCCTTGAAAAAATTCTTTAAAAAATCCACGTTCATGGCCTGATAACCATTGAAAAAATTTCTTTAAAAAAATCCACGTTCAAGGCTCGATAACCCTTGAAAAAAATTCTTTAAAAAAATCCACGTTCATGGCTCGATAACCCTTGAAAAAAATTCTTTAAAAAAATCCACGTTCATGGCTCGATAACCCTTGAAAAAAATTCTTTAAAAAAGAAATCCAATTTCATGGCTCGATAACCCTTGAAAAAAAAATCTTTAAAAAAATCCAAGTTCATGGCTCGATAACCCTTGAAAAAAATTCTTTAAAAAAAATACACGTTTATGGCTCGATAACGCTTGAAAAAAAATCTTTAAAAATCCGCGTTTAAGGCTCTGGTAGGCTCTGGTTGTCGCTGAAAAAAAATTCTTTAAAAAATCCACGTTAATGGCTCTGATGGTCAATGAAAAAAAAAATTCTTTAGAAAATCCACGTTTATGGCTATGATGGTCGATAAAAAAAAATTCTTTAAAAAATCCACATTTATGGCTCTGATGGTCGTTGACAAAAAAAATTCTTTAAAAAATTCACGTTTATGGCTCTGATGGTCGTTGAAAAAAAATCTTAAAAAAAATCCACGTTTATGGCTCTGATGGTCGTTGAAAAAATTCTTAAAAATCCACGGTAATGTCTCTGATGGTTCGTGAAAAAAACTCTTTAAAAAATAGACGTTTCTGGCTCTGATGGTCGATGAAAAAAAATTCTTCAAAAAATTTCAAAATTCTAAAAGAAAATATTTGATGGAAAAAATTCTTTAAAAAATCCACGTTTATGGCTCTGATGGTCGGCGAAAAACATTGTTTAAAAATCCACGTTTATGGCTCTGATGGTCGGTGAAACAAATTTAAAAAAAAATTCGTAAAAATCCAGGTTTATATTTTCGATGACCTTTAGAAAAAAATCCTTTAAAAATCCTCTGATGATCTTTACAAAATATTTTGTAAAAATCCAGGTTTATAGTTCCGATAACCTTTGGAAAAAATACATATATAAGGCCTCGATGTTCCTTGAAAAAAAATCATTAAAATTCCACGTTTATAGATCTGATCTTTCTTTAAAAAAATATTTAAAAATCCAAGATTAATGCTCGGTTGGTAAACAAATTTTCCATGTTTATGGCTGAAATCGGCTTAAAAATCCCCGATTTTAACCTTATTGTTCCAAAAAAAATATATATTTTTTTAATTCATGAAAAAATCGCTTCTTCTGTTTTTTTTTTTATCAAAACACACCCCTCTACTAGTTTTCTCTAAATATTCCTTTACTTTAAACAAGAAATTATCACGCCACTATTATCTTAATTTGTTCAAATTTTGAATTCATTTGAATACAAAATTAACGAAAATCGGGGTGTATGTATGATTTGCTAATTTTATCGTGATAATTCTCAACATCTTCTAAATAACGTTCCAACAAACAAAGTGGGTTAGATTGTGACATTGGATTGAAAATTACCTTGAAATCGTTGGGCCTATACGATAATGAAAAAGAACTTTTAGGTCAGTCAATTGAATGAATTTCAAAACTTGTGGAATAAATTATTTTCTTGGCGAAAAATATTCCATATTTACTATTCCACATAAGGACGACCTTCCCAATTCTAAGTTCTAGCAGCAACAACAACTCTCAAATAACAAATAACAACAATACCATAAATGGCTAAAATTATTAATAAATAAAACATGTTTTGCCATTGTTGGTATCACCATGTAAACCCCAAACAAACAAAACAAGTACAAAACAGCTATGGAATACTTGCTGTTCTACGTTATGCTTGGGAAAAGTCTAAATCTAAACAACAACACCGAAAAAAAGTTAATAGCCCGTCTAACAACTATTTGACTGGATGGCTGGCTAACTGGCAATCACCTCAAATGTGTGGTATTTTGTAGTTATGACGTTGTCATAGTAGCTGCTGCTGCTGCCGCCGCCTAACTGCTACTATCATAGTTTGCCGTTGTTGTTATTGTGAAGCTCTTGCTCTCTGAATTGTTAGTCAGATGTCCGGAAGTATTAAAAATTCGTAAACCATATTCCGGTTGAAGTGAATGCAAACAGAAAAAACTAACAACAACAAAACACACTATTTAGTTGTCGTTCGTTCTGTTGCTCTTGCTGCACGTAGTTTGATTGATTATTATCATTATTTGTATTCTTGTTGTTGTTGCTTTTGTTATTATTATTATCATTTTGTTAACTATTTAATTGAAGACTATGCTTAAATACTTTGGAGGCATTATTTTTTTGCCTTGTTTTGTTTGTTTTAATGTCAAGCAGCAGTTCTTGCTATTAACATTTTGAAATCCAATTTCAAATAAATGTTTTTTTAGCCCATCACTATGAGACGAGGAGGGCATAATCAGTTTGTCATTGCGTTAATAAAAAGTAGAAATTTTTGTTTTGGAACTTAAAAAAAAAAATCAAATGGTCGTGGATTTTTACAAAAGTTGTTTTCAAAGTCTATCTCTACAAAAATCTTGGATATTTGGAAAATATTTTTTTCGAGGGCAGTCATAGCTATAGCCCTGGATTTTGAAAGGAGTATGTTCCAAAGACAGTGAGGGCTACAGGGTGAGATGAAAAACCTGCAACCAACTTCAGACTGCTGTCATTTCTAAGCCACTCGTCCGACAGCTGTTAAAATTACATTGTTTACAAACGTACAAAAGCATTTTGGTGAGAATTTTCCAGAAAAAAGTTATTCGTGATGGAATTCAAGCGTGATAGTGTGATTTCTTTATATTTGGCTGGAAAACCACAAGTGGCTATCCATCCAGCATTGAAATGCGAATAAATCTTTTGTGACTCACACCATTGCTCGTTACCGTGATACTGGTAGCGTAGCCCGACGTCAAGGAGGTGGACGGAAGAATACAGCAACATCAGCAGAAATGGTTCAAAAAATAAAGAAGCGACTTGATCGAAACCCGCGTCGTAGTGGCCCAAAAATGGCTCGTGAGCTGAACATATCGCAATATTCCATTCGGCAAATATAGAAATATAAGCTCGGGCCAAACCATTGAAATTCCAAAAAGTGCAAGAACTTACACCGCATCGCAAAGAAAATAGACTCAAAAGAGCTAAAGAGTTGCTTCGCTTGGCAGGAAGTGGGGAACTGCCGAATTTGGTTTTCTCCATCTCCGATAAGAAAACATTTGTTGTCCAGCAGTTTGTAAACAAACAAAATGATCGTGTTTACTTGTTAAAGAGGTCAGCTGAAGATGTGCACCTTCGGTTGGCCACCAGAACTCAAATGCCGGCCATGGTGATGTTGTGGGCCGCCATAATTAAACTCCTTCGGTAATTATTCCATGGGCAGAGAACCTTCTTCATGCCCTGTAATAGCAAAAGCGTTTAGAAAGTGCTCTCCGCTCGTATTAAGCGATCGTGGCATCAGAATAAATGCCGACTTTTATCGCTAAAATATTCTGGAGGGTGTATTAAAGACTTGGGCACGCAAACATTTGGACCGCATTCCAACAGGACTCAGCACCATCGCACTGAACACGCGCCACCAAAGAATGCTTACAAAATGAGGTTCATCGCTTCATTTCCAGCGCACAATGGCCACCAAAATATCCGGATACCAATCCATTAGACTATTGTGTCTGGAGTATTTTGGAAAGCAAGGTTGGCACTAAAAAATACCAAAATGTCGCCAAAGCGCCAAAATGTAGCGCTTCGCCAAAAATGCACCAAAATACCGACATTCGGATAGTTATTACGGTTTCATTGGTCATTTGAAGGCCATAATTCGTGCCAAAAGGTGACCAATTCGAACAAATCAAAACTTATTTTAAAATTTGATGCTATTTCCGACATTTTTTCCTTTCATTCAATAAAATTTAAAAAAAATTGTAAAAATTATGGCGTTTGACTTTGTTGCAGTTTTCTTTTTTCACCCTGTATATGGAAGAGATTCATTTAAAGATAAATCCATTCTACAGAATATCTACTTTTGAAATGGATTTTTTGCATTTTGAATTCTCCAATGGATAGATCGTTCTCTAAATTATACATTGATACCTTGTGAAGGGTTTCTAGAAGATGAATGAGCCTTTGATAGTTATAATGTCACTTTAGAATGTCTGTTACAGATGAAATATTTTCCTTTGCTTAATCAAATTGACAAATATTCATCAAAATATCCCCATGAAGACCAAGTTATCTTGTGAAAACCACAGTATGCACAAGAGCTGTTATCCTCTTTCACAGCTGATCTGACAGACAGGCGAAGCATAAATATTTGCTATCTTATGAATTAACGTTTCAATATTTGAACTACAGGGTGGCATTTCACAAAAATTTCGATAAATCCTATGATTCTTAACATCGCCTGGGATCACAACGGCTCTCGTCTTCATATAAATATGATCTTCGTTTGAAATTCCTACCCATAAATATGTTTCATAGCCGTTTTTAATGTTTAGATTCGGGATTAGTAGACGACTTTCTTAGACCTTTGATTTAGCAATTCATTTAGTGATAGAACATGATCTTTAGCTTCCATAACTTCTATGTTTTTATATGGATGAACTCCTTATATCTAGTTCTAGGCCATCAAATCAAATATATTTCATTGGCAATTTTCATCTATGGCATCAAAGTTAGTTTTGCAATTGAGAAAAATAGCTTTTGATTAAGAAGTTCATTGAATCTTAGATATTTTTCTTTAATTCCATTAGGTGTTTTACATTGAGTTCTCCTTTCAAAGTATTTTTCTACACAATTTCCTGTGATATTTTCCTACATTTCTTCCCTCTGCTGCCATAAGTATAATAATTTTTACATGATTGTAAAGGATCTGTAAAAAATCAGACATTAGTAACATGTTGAAAATAAAATTATTTTAGATTTAAAATATACCTCCTCTTGCATTTTGCAAAATCCACCACTTTAATTATCCGAAAAAATACCGGCAATTAGCTTATAATTTACGCATTTAATTTATCTTCCAGTACCTTGAGTTTGCATTGGCCAATAAAATCTATACAAAACTCCAAGTGACATTCAAATAGATTTGTTTGATTCGTTTTTTCAGTCTCATGAATAAGTTATCTTTTGCTGTAAATCTCAAGCCGGCAGACGCACACCGGTTATGTCTGTGTGGTTTCTTATTCTTTGCAAATTAACTAAAATAGCCGTAACACGATGAATAAATAAAAACCAATGTTTTATAAGCGTCATTAGCTGCTGGTGATGGTAAAATTTAAATTTGCTGTGGAATGGGTGAGAAAATGTTTTTTTTTTTCGCTAGTTTAAACATTATTGTTGTATTGTTTTTTTTTTTTCTGTTTCGCTTCGTAACTCCAATCTTAATCACCATTAAATTCTTTTGAGCATTTGATTCGAATGAAAAAAAAAAATAAATAAAAAATCAAAAGTGCCTCTTTAACCATTCTCAAGTATGTGTTTCAATATTTGGCGTTGACGTTTGTGCTCACCATTTGCTGAATTGCTAAGGTCAGTTTCTTGTAGCTGGTTAGCTTTGAACCCAATAAGAAGTGTTAGAAATACAACAAGCTCGCCAATGCTAGATGGCTAGCTAGCTAGCTGATTTTCTATGTTGACGGATTGGTGTTCGTTTTTACACACAAGGCAAATGGCCAGAAAGCCAGCCTGCAACATAGAATATACCACCACTACTTCAACAAAATAAAAATTTTAGTTCCACCTTGAAATAGTAATTTGGAACATGCTTAATAATAATTAGATAATACACAAAGCAGAAAGAAAAAACAAACGTACACAAAATGTATGGTCATTTATATGAATCTGAAATAGTCATTGCTGGCTGGCTTGCTATCTTACTTGCTATTCGTTTATGTAGGCTATGTAAATTGTATTCTTTTTTCTTTCAAGTCTCTGTGCGTTTGTTCTCAAAACTTATTTGTTTAAAGATGCCTGGCCGAATAATTATGTTAGCTCTGAATCTACACAGAATGTATGACAAAACGAAAAATCACGTCGTCTTCATGTTTGTTTCGTGTTCTTGGAGATTTAACTATTCATTGTTTGTTGATGGATGTATTGCTGCTTGCTGCTTGCTGCTGATGGCTGATTGTATGGATGAGAAAGAAGGTCAATATATACTCTGGTATTTATTGTTATTGTTCTTGTTGTATCTTTTCCTTATCTCACATTTTATTGATCGTCTTTATCTATATGGTATTACTCGGAATTCTGTTATTGATCAATTCGGAAATGACTTATAAATTTATATGGAAATTGTCCCATAGATGGGTTATTAAAAATTGCGGTTCGTTAACATGGAAGAGTTCAAAATTCGGTTTCGTAAAATAGATAGATTAATAAAAAAAACCCGGTTCGTTAACATGAAAGAGTTCAAAAATCTCTTTTGTAAAATCCGTTCAGGGCGAATGAATGCATATTTTATGGCTGGAATTTATTTTAAGGCAAAAGATCTGACAATTTTTCCAAAGATAAACCCTTTGATATGATATATAAAGATGTGGAAACGTCCATAAAGAAAACAAATGGAATTTAAAAAGATCGAAGTTCTTCTAAAGGTCTTAGGAAGGGTATCGCTGATGGATCAGCCCGAAATGGTTAAGGTACATTATTCTAATCGCTGATCACTTTATTTCATAGGGCCTTTCAAACACTTTTTAGTACTCTTGTTAAATACGCAAAATAGTGAATAGAATAATCTAAAAATATTTCAAATTTCTTCCAAAGGGCATTTAAAATGAGATCGTTGATGAACTATTACTAAGTAACTACCCTTCACCTATCACTTTCTTTAAAATTGTCTATTCAGTCATTATTCAGCACTCTTGTTAAAAATCAAAATATTGAATGAATGGCGTTTTTGGTCTTTTAAGATTTGTTTATTTAACTCCATAATTATCTAATGAGTAGGATACCAGTGGCATTCTAACAATTATAAGACGGTAAATATTTGACGATACTTTTTACTTGATTTGAAACTCCAATTAAAATTTGAATAGTACAACATAAAACATGACCTTTCATATCCACCGTTCATGTGACAAAGAAGAATTCAACGAAGACTTCAAGGAGAATATCTCAGATGAATATCTTCATTTTATAACGAAATGCAAATCGGATAATCAACAGCCCATATAGGGTTTTTGGTCGATTTTAAAGTAATTGATATGTTTTCGGATCTATTTTGATTACACTTCTCTTTAATTTCAAGGAAAACAGTTTTGTTATCTCAAAATGGAAGCTTTTAAAATCTTGGTCATTTTTCACGATGGTATGAGCTTGAATGGATTTCGTAGAATTCATAGTTCACAGGATTCAAAAATATGTTCCTATGCAACAGGGAAACAAAAAATATTAAAAACTGTCCTACAATTACAAAGAACGTGTATAAAATATATCAAAATACAATAAGAACTTTTACCATCAACGTTCCGAATGATTTCTAGAGTCACCGCCTAAAGACTGCCGCCTCTCGACCCATCTGGCTTCTTCAAAAACTGAGAAATTATCTTGATAGGCACCTCAAAATACCATTTATCTATTTATTTAGTATTAAAATAACTAGTAAACCACTATTAAACAATAATTTTCTAAAAAGGAATTGTTGATTCCACAAAACGAAGCTGCTTTGCGCCATAACTTCTGTCAAGTGACAAAACAGCTGATTTAACATTCCTACTCTCTATATCTCTCACATTCCCTCTCACCATTTGTTCACACAAAAAAAGGAGACTACACAAGCAATTTCAACAAAGTGCTGGAGAAATTTATTTTCTATCACCCCGAATTTCTTCAACACACAAATAAAACACCCAAAAATGTCGGCTTCAAATATTTAATAAGCTCCACTTTTTCCTTGAAACCACTGTGAGCATATTAAGTTCTCCGTGGATCATGTGTCAATCTGTCTCCTCAAATTTCGCAGTTAGCGACAAAAATTTAATGTGTCAGGCAGGTTGTTTATGAGCACATGAAGTGATCATTATTTTAAGACATAAAAAATGTAAAATGTAATTGTTCTATATAAAGCAAAACAAATCAAATTATTATCTCACAATTTCTGTTTTATCACCAGAAACATTTCGAAAACAAAATAATTGACAACGACAAAAACAAATAGGAATAAAAATAATTGATACCACGAAATATATTGATAAGACAACAGGCAATGGTTTGAGAAATGTCATTTAGACACACATGTCTAACAGATTTCTCGCCGTCCGCCCTCCCCTCCACGCCACTCCACTCTTCACAAGCAATCACAACAAAAACAAAATGTAACAAAATATAACACTTAAACAAAATAGAGATAGAAGACATCAAGACAACCAAGCAAAGCAATCAAATGTGAGTGGCCTAGCCTCCTCCTGTCTTTCATTTATCGATTAATCACAAAACAATAACAACAGCAACAAGAATAAGAACATTTTGACACATTGTGTTTGTTATTCTTAAGGCGAAAAAGAAAAAAAACCAAATGAGAACATTAAGATTGCCATGGCTGGCAGTTGGGGGTGGAATGTTAATAAAATATTTTGGACATAAAGGAACAATGTTCCATTGCTGGCTGAAACATTTTAAAAAATCAGAACGCATTTCCTGAATAATTATCATAAATACAATATTAAAAAAACAAATCCAGTCTCTTTGTCGACAGACGCTCATGCATATAACCATGAACGACGAATTCTGCTCGTCAAGAAAACATGTTGGAATGTAAGTGTATTGGGGGTATGGCTGGGGCAATGATTGGAGAACTTGGTTGGATGGACATTCTTTGTTTGCTTGCTCGCTTGCGTCGTTGTTCTTCTTCCCGCATAGCAAAAAGCAGAAGATTTAATGTTTTGGATTTTTTCTTATTTTTGTAAATAGCTTCTTTTCTTTGTGCACTCACCTTCAGCAGATTTAAATTATTGTCCCTGGCTGCATTACACACAATACATGCAAGATCCATGACAGTAGTTGTTCTGGAATATCTTTTTCTTGTTCTTTGCACCACTCCAATAAAGAAAACACTTAACGCGTCGTTGTCCGCCGCCTAGTTGCTTTTGGTTAAGTTATTTATGTTGTTTTCGTTCTTCCTATTCTTCACACTTCTTGTTTTTTTTTTTGTATTTTCAATTTTCAACTTGATTTTTTTGGAGAGAATCTGTCGTCTCGCGCGTGTCTGTCACTGTATTTTGTTTAAGAATACGTGTGTGTATAGAACTTACGTTTGTGTGTGTTTTACTTTAGTTGTGTTGGTTGTTGGTTCTGTGTGTTTTTGTAAATTTCCTTTGTTCTTTTGCAAAATTTTCATTTAAATTTTTTGTTTAAAGGTACAAATTGAAATGTTTATATTATTGCTTTTTGTTGTTGTTGTACGTTTTGCAATGTAAAATGTACCCAACCAGCCCACCGTTTCACTTAATTGTTGTTTTTCTTCGCGTTATGATTTTACAAAAATTCTTTCTGGCTTCTGCAGCAACACACAGCACAGACACACAATTGCACAATTTTCCCGAAATTTTTGCTCTGCTTCTTCTTTTTCTTGTTATTATTACTCTTTTTTATTTTTCGTGTTGCGTATTTCCTTTTGACCAGGGATTTTTTCTTTCTAATTCTTTCCTTCTTTTTTCAAGAAGAAACAGGAAGATCTTGTTGTTGTTTCTGTCGATTTTGCTCGAATACGTTTTGTTATGATTTCTTTTTGTGTTTGTATTCTGATTCGCTGCGACAGCTTAATGCGAGAAGTGGGAGGAATCACTAGCACTTGTTAAAAAAATCTTCTGTTATGGTTTTCACCGTAAGAACTCTTTTCCTTTTTTTCTTGTTATTCTTTTCTTCTTTCCTTGAGATTTGCATGCAAAGAGGCAAAGTGGTGAATCACGGAATCACAAACTTTTTCTTCTTCAACGTTGTATCTCATTCGGCCCTAGTCAATCAAATACTAAAATTAATTTTATTTTTTAATTTCAGCTAGCTGTCAAACAGACATCGGGGCTGAGATTTTCAGCAACAACGTCGTCATTATTAATTGGCCGTCTGTTGCTGTTATTGCCGTAAATGTCAATCAACGTAAAATGATAGCACAGTTTTTTTTCTGATTAGCATAAAACGATAACACGGCTTTCTGCTGTCACCGTTAAATAATAACGTTGATAAGTCTATAATACATTCATTACCTTTCACAAAATAGACAATTGAATGGATTTTTTAACGGAAGAGTGGCATGGAAAAGTAAAGCAGAATATTTATATATTTGTTCGAACAATGTGTACCAAATGATAGATGAAGAAAACACCCACAGTGAACAGAAAATCTGGAGATCTACGTATATACGATCTTCTGGAGGTATGCATGGGTAGATATCTTCCGGACATAATAGACCTTCTATAGCTATTCTGTGCATTTATACACCTCCTGGACATTAAATATCTTCAATGGATCGGCTTTCTACACATTGTTGATTACTTAAAACAATCGGATTTTCTCTAAAACACAAGGTATTTCTATATATTTTTAATCATTTACACTAAGCATAATGTAAAACTAAAATTATTTCCTAAAAAACATATATTCTATTCTTTAAAGATTTTCATTCTTTTTCACATATTCCATGGCCAATTGTTTCACACGTTGGACATTGGCATCGCTGCCAAAACGTTCTTCAAATTCTAAATATTTCTTAAAGATTGTACGCATTTTGCGTAGAGGTATCTTTTGCACTATAGCACGTTCCAGAATGTTTCTAAAAAGAAAAAAGCGTTCAAGTTCAAAATTCCCGACAAATTAACGAAAAATCTTACCTCGCAGAATCAATTAAATCAGCCTTCACCAACATATCGACATATTGTGACCAAACATCCACGCGTTTGGGATATGAGGTAACAACCTGGTCCAATAGTGTTTGGGCCATTTCATTTTCACCATGTTTGTGATTCAAATTGGCGAATATAACAATTGTGTTGACATCTGAAAGAAGAAAAGTACAATGTTAGAAAATTCCTGCGAATGTATAGTTCTCTCTCATAACTTACGATCTCTTTCGGGCAGACAGGCCAATGCCTTATGCAATAACTGTTGAGCTCGTTCTGTCATGCCCACACTGAAGTAGGCATTGGCAGCCACCTTCCACATTTCCTGTTCAGCTTTGAATTTTTTCGTTATAATGCCAATCATTTCTATCAGGTCCTGGGTCTTTTTGGAATCGGTAATTATTTCCACAGCCCTTAGGTAAATCTTTAATGGCTCATTATAGATTAAGGCCTCTTTGAGGATGTCATTGAAGGTCTCCTTGCTGCCATAACGTAATTCTAAATTCAACATTGCCACCCAAATATTGATTTGTTCTTCGGAATTTCTAAAGGTAATGGTTTTTAGAGCACGACGAGCCACTGCCCTGGCCTTATCGATTTCGGCAGCTTGCAAATGAAATACCATGTAATTGATCCAATGTTTGCTGTTATTCGGATCTGATAGCACCAACCTATCAAATTGATCTACGGAATCTGGTAATTGTGTGGGATCGGCATATTTCTCTTCAATGGCCCTGAGTCGGGCTTCTTCTTCGCGTTGCTGTTTGAATTTCTCAGCAGCGGTGAGTTTCTTTTTACTCTTGGCATCATTGGCAGTTTGATCAGCTTCATTCTCCTCTTCATCGGAGGAATCTTCTGTTTTTGAAATATCCTTTAAGTCAGTGGTCCAGAAGTTGCTCACACCAGCCAATGATTTGGGTGTGGGTTTGGGTGTATTGGTGACTTTGGGTTTATCTTCAGTTTTTGGTGTGACCACAATATCTACCACCTTGGCGGCTGCCTTTTTATCAGCACTTTTATCTTCATAGAATAGTATATCTGGTTGTTCCACTTTAGCTTTTTTTGAGGTCTCTTTTTTGGATTTCTTTACTTCTTCTTGTGTTTCCGAGGTTTTGCGTTTACGTTCCTCTGATTTGTTTTTAGCCGGACTCTCTGCAAGTTTCGCTTTCTTGGCTGATTGTTTTTCCTTATTCTCGTTTTCTAGCTTCCGTTTACGACTGATTTCTGTCCAAATTTTGTGGGTATCATCCAAAACAGCCAAAGGCATTTTATCATCTATGAAGCTCAGCTTACAGAAATCTCCTTCGCCTACCGAGTTACTGCAACTCTTTTCAAAATCATTGAAATGCAGCTGGGCTGGACAGTAAACCAATGGATGTTTACCCTTCTTGAGAGAGCAAACAAAAACACTTTCGTTTTTAAACAAAACCTTGGCATTAATGCCTCCCTTGCCCACCAAGTTTTGTGGTATCTCTTTGCCGGGTTGTATGTGATCTGTATCGCCGGATTTGTTGCTTAGGAAAAGTAAATTGTTGCTGTAGTCCACCCATAAAACAATGCATTCCTGTGTTGTTCCACTTGCTGGAGGTTTGGCTTTACCCACAATACTGGTTTTGACAATGCCTGTAACTTGGGTTTTTTCCACCACATATTCCCAGTCATTGGTGGCCTCATTAACACCTTGGAATTGGGCCTTCACTTTGTCGCCCACCGAGTAACGGGCAAGAGCATTGCCTTGCTTTTTCAGGCTCTTCTTAATGCTGTCAATTTCTTCAAGATATCTGAAAAAGGAAAATCAAAAATATAAATTATTTAAAAACCTCATTTGATATTCACTTCAAAACTCACTCTTTTAAGGCCTTGGCTGTGGTCGACAATTGACAGTCCCACACATCTATCAGCTTGGCTGATACCGATATTGTTTTGGTTAGATCTTCTTTGCCCAAAACTTTAACAAAAATAACCTGATCTTGGGCAATGGAAACCTTGGCTGCATTCTTGATATCCATCAGCATCATGTTCAAATGTAATTTCACGGTTTTAGTATAATTATTTATGGGCACATTCACCTCCACCACATCCTCGTTAACATCCTTGACGTGGGCCTTTAAAATATCCCCCACATTTACGGATTTCCAATTGGGTGTTAAATTTTGCGTAAAGTACTGGACATCTCGTACACTGAAGATGTTATTGTTGATGCATGCCGCCTGAGTTTGTTCACCAATTTGGTACATATGCAATTTGGCCAGCAGCAGATCATTGTAATTTGAAAAGAATCTAATGGGTATGAGACCCTTAAATTCAATTTCTTGACCCTCATCGTCATGATCTTCCTCTGGGGCATAGGCCACTTTTATTTCCAAGGCCGAATCCAATTTATGTACTATGGTTGCCGGACAAATTTCACCCAATTTAAAGGCATTCTCGACAACGCCCAATATTAGCTGGCCATCCTTCTTATCGGCCACACGAAATTGTAAAGTTTGTCCCTCTTCCAAGGTATCCAAATGTCCAACAGGGGCATTTTGCCGATAGAAAATACCCTTGACGTCGCCAAAGAATTTCACCAAAGCAAAGCTGTGTTCGCATTTCACAATCGTGCCCGTGTAATTGCCATTAATTCGAGCCTCATTGAAACTGCTCAAGAAATTACACGATTTTGATAGATATTCCTGGCGATTGGTTAGATAAACCATTTTCCTTTCAGGATTCACAGCAACAATGCGACATTTCAGTTTCGTATTGGGTTCCAAAATCTTTGAGGATGGGGCCAGGAATAATTTTTCAATAATTGCTGGAAGAAAGACAGAAAATTAATTTAATTTGTTTCCACAACAATTCAACAAAACTTACCCGATGCCATTCCCACCTGGACACTGTAGCCATGAATTTTCTCATTGAACTCCCTTACCTTGGCTGTAACAAAATCCCCCGGATGAAAGTCATCCAAGGCAAAGAATTTCTCTTGCACTGTGGCCGTATCATCGGTACACACATACAACGAGTCCATAATATCATAATCGAGAATACGAACTTTGTGGGTGCTATCCTTGGCATATTTAGCCAACAATTCATCCTGATCATAGTTTCCCTTGTAATTTGCTTTGATAGTCTTGTAAGACAAGATACCTTTATGTTGATCATTTAACACCAAGACCACGCCGCCGGTACCCAAATGATGGACCTTGGCATTCTCAATAATATCACCTCTTTTCAGGGAATTCACGCCGTCTTTATCTTCCTCCGCCTCCTCATCATCTTCCTCTGTTCTGTGTTCCTTTTTCATTTCATTATTTCTATGGATGTTCAATGTCAAATACACCAATTTTGTCAAGGGCATAACATAGAGAATTCTGGCCTCATATTTCTCATTGATTTCATAGTCGTCTGGCACCAGCAGGGCATTGCCCAAATGATGTTCATTGACATAGGCCGTGAATAGCTCATTCATTACGGTTCCCTTTAAACCATCCTTAAGGCGTTTGCTTACTTGGAAATTCACAATGGTTGTTGGTAGCAAATAATCCAGACTGGGATCTGTTTGATCCTTCACCTTCAACTTATCTTCTGTTACTTCACGACAAATGCAAGTACTCGCCGCTTGATCCAGTGTAATTTTGTCCACCTTCAAATAAATCATTTCACCAACACCATGCCCCTCTTTCGATTTTTCCAAAGGTAAAAAGCAACGCAAACCCTTGATGCCCGACTCAATAATGTAACCATGCTCCTGGACCTCCTCGACAGCACCATTGAACACAAATCCCTTGCGTATATTTGAATGATTCAGCTCAGCATGTACCTCGCTTGGCTTAAAAGTCATATCGATCAAAACATGACCCTTTTCATTTGACTTAATCTCCAACACACGCCCATAGACAGTTTGGCCCACACGATACAAGTCCTTCAGCGGTTTATAGCCTTCAGCTTGGGCAGAATTTTGTAAAAACTCCTTTGTATTTTTTGTGTAAGAATCGGATATTTCCAATGCTGATACTCTGGCCGTTAGACGTCCTGGCAGTGAGACACTAACATACAATTGATCCACTTTCTTAATGATACCCATGATTACCATGCCATCCTGTATTGTTTCATAGTTGAGGAGTTCTGCGGAAAACGATTCCAAGGTATCATTTTGTTGTTCATCATCACCAAAGGGCTTTTTCGACGACTTTGTTTTGGATTTTTTTATTTTCTTTTGAACAGCACCAAAGATCTGAAATGAGGCAAGAACCACAGAGGCATTAGAAATTGTAGTCTAAATTTACGAATGTTTCACTCACCTGTCCCTCTGTTTTTGTGGCCACTGCTTTTTCCTTTGAGGCTGGTATTCCACCACGAGGAAATGATTTTTCAATTATTACCATTTTTAATAGAAATTAACAATAATAATGTGTGGGAAAAAAAAAAACTAAAATCAAACTGAATGTCTTAGCACGTTGTTTTTAATGAATGTTGCCAGATTGTCATGTTTTTCCTCAACAGCTGTGAGAAAACTAAAGTAAGCGTAACACAGAAAATAGTGGCGATTAGTCAAAACGTATTGTCTATTGTTTTCACGGCTGTGCTTATTTATATTAAATGTCTTAAATTGAAGGCATTGTTTATTAACCTATTAGTAAACTGAAGTTATCATTAAATTTTCATAAAATATAAGTTTTTAGTTTATACGAAACGTGTTTAATTCAAAAAACATTAATGTCAATTAAAAAAACCAATATTAATAATAAACAAAATAGCGAAAAGCTCATTAGTTCTTCTAAAAAATAATGCCGTCTTTACACCGACACCTACATTTCTCGTTCTAAGAAAATGCATAATTTGTTTGACGTATTATCAAAGGAATTTGCAATCTAATTAACATTTTTTATAAAAAAAAAACATGTTCGGTGTAAATAAAGCTTTAGTCTAATCTCAAGTAAGTATATTTAGAGGCTGAATTCTTGTTCAATAAAATACCATCCATTTCCGTGTTTTGAAACAACAATTATATGGAGATTTGTAGGTAGAAAGTAGTATAAATGTCATCTGAAAAATTAAATAGGAGTGTACAAAATAACTAAAAAAAGTATAAACAATGGCATTGTTTATTAAAAAAGTATAAACATTTATTTTATGTTACTTTTGATATATGAATAAATTTTGATCAGAAAAGATCCTATTTTGCTCTTTTAATTTGAATCAATTTAATTGGCAATTTAAATTGTTTATAATAAAATTGACATATCTGGCGCTTTTAACCATGGTAGAAGAATACAGGTAGAGTCATCAACGTTAGCGAACATTGATATGTCAAAAATATTTAAAAATGTTGCAAAAAGAGACAGCATTAACCGCCTCAATATGTATTTTTTAGTACAAGACAACTCTGATTCAAGGAAAGTGGTTTGGTGTATAAGTGACATGATGTACAAAGCATGACAGAAGAATACTCAAAAATATCTACATCTGATATGTCAAAAATATCTACAGAAATTAATTGATTTCCAAATATTTTTTTAATACGGTTGTGTTTGTTAAGATATAAGTTTTTCAAAAAAATTACTAATTTAATACTTTTTCATTCAAAAATTTGAGTTCCAAAAATGTTTTGACGGTTCATTGTGTTGATACGGCAACCTGTATTATTTCATCATGGAACAAAGCTTATAAAAAATACACATTTTTCCCATTCCTAAATAAATTACTGGCCTTTTGAACTGATTATTTTTAATATATTTCCTATCAAACGCATTATTTCAAATTAAATCTTCTATTTTTGTAATATTTTCTCTTTACGAGCTCGAAGCACATGTTGTCGCACTGATTCTATAGTCAAAATACAACCCTGCCAGAGATTTGCCAATGCCTGTCACAAATTGTGCGATTTTTATCGCCGTCCACAGTTGGCAGCACTGTAAACCGGCATTTTTCGCCATTCTTTATAATACACACATAAAGCACATCCCGTCATTATTACTATACAACTACTCGCAAAAAGTCAGTGAAAAAGTGCCGAAAAGAATCGACGCCGCAATCACATTATAGCTGGGGACGAGCCTTTGTTTTTTTTTGCTTTCTGTGCAACACGCAATTTCAAGAAATATCCAGATAAATAAATAAATAATGTCCAGCTTACCGAAGCGCGCAAAATTGGATGAGGCCAACTCCGGTGGTGCGCCCAATGAAGCTGTATCTGAGGCGCTGGAATTAATCGATGCGTGTCAAAACGACATCGATGCCCTCAACGAAAAAGCCAGCGAGGAAATACTCAAAGTTGAGCAGAAATACAATAAACTCAGGAAGCCCTGCTATGAGAAGCGTAGTGAATTGGTCAAACGTATTCCGAACTTCTGGGTGACAGCGGTAAGTCTATCTAACATTGGAGTGGTATGCCATTGAAAGACGAGGCAAGGATGATCAGTCGTTAGAAGCAGCAGGATAGGATAGGAAGCATAGAAAAAGATGTATGTAATATGATGAGTTAGTTTCTATTGTGTATGTAACCATTTAACGTGTAGATACAGTGTGCTCCGCATTTGTTCTTTTTTTGTGTTGGTTTCTTCTTTCCTTTGGAAGAAGAGACAAATTCCCGGGATCATTTGTAAGAAGTCTGTTGTGCTATTCACACTCGTTAAGGTATAAATGCCTTTTAGAAAAGGGGCGAAGGTTTTTACATGAGTTTTTTTTTTGTTCCTGTTGTTGATGCTCTTGTTTTTTGTTTTTGCCAATATACAAAAGAATACTCTGTTGATGTGAGTATGTGTATGTGTGAGTGTGATGTGTAAATTATTGGCTGTTGTGCTCAGTCATCATATTTTTGTCGCTGGCGGGTTAAATTTTTGTTGTGTACACAGCTTTGTAGGGTTGCCAATCTTTGTGAAATAGAATACCAACAATGTGCTTGGAATTAGTTAAGAATATAGAAGAGTGGATTCTCTTGACCGGATATTTTGTTATAATTATCCCGAGAAAAAGTACAGTGTCACATATTTGATGCAGGGGTTTACATTTCTTTACCTTGATTAGGTTTGACTGTACCAAGGTGTTCTGTAGATGGCATATGGCGCGAAAAATCTGCTATTTACAGAAGATCTTCAGTGGGTTCCCAAATGTTCTAAAATCACCTTAGAATAAAACAGATTGGCTAGAAGAACTCGAGATCTTTTTTAATTCATAAATGATCACAAGAAGGTCTATTGGCTACAGGTCAAGGTCTTCCATTTATAGAATACATCCTGAAGATTGTTATGTGGTTGTTTGAAGGTGCTCTCTGTATAAAGTCCTTTAGAAGGTTGTTCTGCTACAAATTATAACTATCAAGTCTTAACATAGAAGACCCTAAGAGTTCTACACTGAGAAGGACGTCCTTGTATATAGAATTGAAGGTCTTCTGGGTTTTTGGATATATGTCCTCAAGAAGGTCTTTTATTGAACATCCAAAGATGTCGGTTTGATATAGAAGACCTAGAAAAGTTCTGTGCACAGAAAAGCTGAAGTAGGTTTTCTTTTGTGGAAATATCGTGACATTCTTCTTTTTATAGAAGACTTGAGGTCTTATTTATATATAAGAGACTCCGAGAGAATTTTTTTTTTTGTATAGAAGACAACTGCTATTTATAGAAAACATTTTCTATTATAGAAGACCTCTAGAGGATCTTTTGTGTTGGAGATCTCATACAGATGTAAGAACGGTTCAAAATTCTCAGTGTAGTCAATTGAGCACCTTAAAAAGTCTTCCTCAAACAATTTAGAACCACAATTTATTTTTAACTTATTCCCTCGAATTAAACATTATTCCTCTATTTTTTTTTTGCAGTTTATAAATCATCCACAAGTATCAGCCATATTGGATGAAGAAGAAGAGGAATGTTTGCATGCCTTAAGTAAATTGGAAGTAGAAGAATTTGAAGACATCAAATCTGGATACCGTATCCATTTCCATTTTGACGAGAATCCCTACTTCGAAAATAAAGTGCTGACAAAAGAATTTCACTTGGGCACAGGATGTAAGTTGAAATGCAATCAAAACGTAAAACATTTCTCATTCATTTCTCTTCCTCTTATCCTTTAAATAGCTGATGAAAATAGCGATTGCCCCTCCTCGACCAGTACGGCCATACAATGGAAAGAAGGCAAAAATCTTTTAAAACAATTGCTCTCAAAACCCTTTACCAATAAAAAGAAACGAAATTCCGAATATAAAACATTCTTCGATTGGTTCACCGACAACAGTGATCCGGTCAATGATGAAATTGCTGAATTAATTAAAGACGATTTGTGGCTGAATCCTCTGCAGTATTATCTGGTACCTGATGTAGAGGTGGAACCAGAAGACGATGACGAAGATAATGAAGACAATGAAGAGGAAGTATTTGACGATGAAGATGGCGAGGGTGAAGAAGATGATGATGATGGTAAGTCACTTTGATGAATGTTCCCTAAAACTAGACGAACTATAATTGTTTTTTTTTTTTTACTTTTTTGCAGATGACAAGTAGACTTGGGTGTATTAAGGATGAAAAAGTAAAAAAAAAACAACAAACATATTGATATATAATATCCGTAACAAATTGATTCCATACTATGCGATATACATATATACGGAGGAATAATAATCTAAACAAACAAGAAGAATAACAAAATTTCGTATTTTAGAATTTAACAACAAGAACAGCAACCACAAAAACGAAAGTTTCATTTTCAAATAAAAAAAAAACTCTTGAAAAAGGCCAAAAAGACAAAAAGCATTGAAAATTTCGTTTTTTCTCAAGGTTTTGAAATTAGAGATATTTATGATGTATATATTCAATATTGTATCGTGAACGTATTATACCCTCCACAAGATAGAAATACTGAACTTATGCGCTGACGTGCCGGGATCTGTAGCGTGCCCACGATCAATTTTCAACGTGGTTCCCTTGTGATTAGCTCTCGGGAGCACACCATTCCTGCTACTAGAACATTAAAAATGCAGTTAATGGCGCTAAATGGTTACATTGGGGTTTTACGATACCTACTAAAATCAAATTGCAATTTTCGGTCAAATGGGAACTAGAATGAAAATTTGAGATCTTAGCCATTTCCATTGAACAAAATTGTAGTATCTGACTGATATTTCAAGGTTTTTGAAATGAAATGAAAATTCCAAACGAAAACTCACAAAATTAGCAAAATAGCAAGCGATTTATTGTTTAAATTTTGGAAGTTTTTTGTTTCATCACGAATTTTAACGGTATCCGGATTTGTACGGTACACACATGTAGTTTTGTTGCAGCTCTGTTGCTTTTACATTTGTACTGTACAAACAAATTAAACAAGTGTTGCCAATATCGATTGAAAAGTTTAATTGAAATAGTTACAGGGATTGGGAGTCGCAAATTAAAACATGGAAAATACGTCACATAGAAATCGCTACCGCGGTACGATTGTCTTCTAAATGTTAGTTTGCCATTGCTTATATGAAAAATGAACTAAAAACCTATATTCGTAAAACCAGTTGTTTAGCTTAACAATTTCCTTAAAAAATAAAAAAACGAATCTTCGAAATAACGGGTAATTTAGGATTAAGGGTTTCTTTTGGCTCCTGTCGATCACCTTCATGAGGAGGCGAAGTTCTTTCCCGCTCGAACATACAATAAAATTATTTCGATGGAATATTTTGTTTTTAGTTCTAATCACCTCGCCAACCATTGGATAGCAAACTCCGCCCAGGCGCCAGAATCTTGTTCAAGGCATGTTCATAAAGACTTTAACGATAGAGAGAGAAATCTTAGTTTACCTTGTCAATTTTCACTGCATACAAAACAGGCGACCGTTGAGGCTTTATCAAATGATTTTCTGTTTTTGAAAAATTTGAATCATGCCTTTGTCCCTTTAAGGTGTGGTGGGTACATAAGCAGCTGGAAGTCTTCGCATGCCATTTTTTGTAACATATCATTAAGGGATGCCAGGGCCGCACTCGAATCCTGCTGTCGTTCTCCCTTATAATTTGGCAAGAAGAGACTTAGGGTGGAAATACATAAAGCGCATATTTGGCTGGCTTCGTAGATGAACAAAGGAGTTTTATGTTGACTTAGTTCGATTTTGGCTCTAGGCTCCTTTGTTCATTTCCGGAGAAGCCAGCAAGATAAGCGCTTTGTTTTTTTTGCAGGGATTCCGTCTGTTTGCTTTCCAAAGTTTTCTTGCAAAAAAGAAGCTGCTGGACAACTCCTGCAGGAAAAGTTACTAAAAACCCACTACTTTAGCCACTTTTGTACATTTTTTCCGAGACCCCGTTTCCGTACGTCAAAAAGGTACAAACTGTTCACTTGTCTGAAAACGTTGCATGTTCTCATTAGAAACTTAAAATCGAAAACCTGTCAAACAGCGAATTTGACTCTTCATCAATTCAATTCCGCGTGGTCTCTGATGTTTCTAATAAAATAAAATGTAACATTTTTTTAAGTATTTATAATTTTTTTATTGAGATTCATAAACAAAATCTGTAAACACACGAATCTTTCAACATTGTTATTTTACTTTCCTCAGAACAGCTTCATTATTTTTGACATGATTTTGAAGTTTTTACTCAGTTTTGCTACTTTTCCGCACTGTTCCACTATTTTTTCCTGAGAGAGTGCATTGGCAACAATTTCACCGGTGCGCTCTTTGCTACTTTTACTATTACACAAGTACGAGAAGGAGGCATGTGATTTATAATTATTAATTAAACGTTAAAGGAAACTAAATAGATCAATTATCATCGTAAATACCACAATTGTAAACCTAACCTTAGTTATGATTGTTGTCTACGCTATGCAGCACTTCAAAACACGTTTAACAAAAATTGACGTTTTTTCATAGACGCCATATTGGCATTACTGTTACTCGCCGCTGTCAAACTATCTGACATAATTTTTTGACAGCCGTCTCAGCGCACTTTGCAAGCTTATTCGTGAATTTTTCTGCGATATTCTCCAAGGCAAAAAATACGATGGCCGCCGTCAATAAATTATCCATGTTGGTAAGAAATCCTTAAAAAGAGTGTTAAATAAACATTTGCATCCATGTAAACCAACAAATGGACTGTGTTTTGGAATAACGTGATACTTTGTCGGGTTATCTGGAAAAATTACCCAACAGTTTTTTTTTGTTGGTTATGTAATGTAACAAAACCACGAAGGAAAATATTTTCTCGGTGTCTGGAAAAATATAATGTGATTTCGTTTTTGTTTTGTAAATGAGAAATCAATTACATAGAGCTCTTTGGTAGTTAACTAAATTGTCTTGTTTCTTTGCAGAGCCGTGCTATGAGCACTGGTGCTCAAATGGTCAAACCCCCCGTACAAGTATTCGGTTTGGAAGGCCGTTATGCCACTGCCTTGTACTCGGCCGCCACCAAATTGAAGCAATTGGATCAAGTTGAAAAGGATTTGCTTGCCTTCCAAGCTACCCTTAAGCAAGACAAGAAATTGCGCGAGTCCGTTGTCAGCCCCATTGTCAACAAGAAAGTCATGGGTGTTGCCTTGAAGGAGAGTGCCGATAAATTGCGCTGGTCTGCTGCCACCGGTAATTTGTTGGCCCTTTTGGCCGACAATGGCCGTTTGAGCCAATTGGATGGTGTTATCAATGCCTTCAACATCATCATGGCTGCCCATCGTGGTGAGGTTGTGTGCGAAGTTGTCTCAGCCAAACCCTTGGATTCTTCACAAAGCAAGCAATTGGAGGGTGCTTTGAAGGTAACGGATTTCAAGAAGATTTTGCAATGAAAACATATGTTTATATTTTTGTTTTGTATTTCCAGTCCTTCTTGAAGAGCAACCAAAGCTTGAAGATTACCTCCCGTGTGGATCCCAGCATCATTGGTGGTCTCATTGTCTCCATTGGTGATAAATATGTTGACATGAGCATTGCCAGCAAGGTCAAGATGTACACCGATGTCATCTCCTCTGCCGCTTAAATTGTAAATCTGAAATCTTGGATTTAAAATCTATGATTTTCGTTAAGGCCTTTTAAGTTTCTTTAATTTGTAATTTAATTATCAATTTTCCTCCGAATCAATATAGTAATGTGTTCTTAACTGAATACGTCTCCAGCCCTCACACAAAAAAGAAGTGTTGCAAAATAATTTACTCTTGGATGAAATATTTGCCGAAACAAAAACATCAGGCAAATTGAAATAAACAAAACAATAAAATGATGGATGTTAAAAAAATACGAATTTCATTGTAAACCCTGTTTGGTATTCAAAAGGCTTTTTCCCATTATGTGACCTAGTTTAATGAAAAATGTGTTGTTTCTGCACATCAGGGTTGGCGTCCGGAATCATGGTACATCATCATCATCTACCATGATACAAAGTTAAATATATATTTTTGAGGTACATTTGTTAAATTATAACACCATATCGTTAGTTACAGGTCAATGCATTTCGAGCTAGAAGACACAACAATGCGAATTTAACCAGAATTTTATTTGACACACATAAATTGGTGCGAATACCACGCAGGCGTGTGGGTGTTAACTAATGTGGGAACAGTGATGATCATTTGTTAAGGGAAAAGTCACAAGGGCAAAGAAAAAATTTGCAAATAAGGTCGTTTAGTTAATTTAATTTTCTTGACTTGTTGAAGATTTTATATTTGGAAAGGAATGGAGATGGTCCTCTGTGCACAGAAGACCTGTAGATATTCTAATATTTATAATTATCAGTGGATATGTTATAGAAGATGTGTAGAAGGCCTTTATTGTATACAAGACCTTTAAAAGCCTGTCTGCCCTTGTGTCTATAGAAGACCTGTAGAAGGAACGGCCTGTTGAAGGTCTCCTATGCATAGAAGACATCAAGAAGGTCTTCTGAGTATAGAAAATCTTTACAAGGTACTCTAACTATAGAAAGCCTGAAGAAGGTCTTCTATATATAGAAGACATGAGGAAGGTCTATAATATGGAAGGCCTGTCGAAGGTCTTCTATGTATAAAGAACTGTAGGAAGTATTTTATATATAGAAAGCCTGTAGAAGGTATTCTATGTATCGACGACCTATAGAAGGTCTTCTATATAAAGAAGGCCTGTATAACGTCTTCTATGTCTAGACAGCCTGTAGAAGGTCTTTTATGTATCAACGGCCTGTAAAGGGTCTTTTTATATATTGAAGACCTGTAATAATCCATTGTATAGAACGTCATGCATAGAGGACCTTTGGAAATGTTTTTATGCAGACCTGTTGTCTATCTATCTATAGAAGATATATAGAAAGTCATTTATGCATAAAGTCTTCTATAGGTCATTTCAGTATTCTGTCCACTGCTCTTACTAAAATTTGCAACAGTATACAACCAACATTTCACGCTCAATGTAAAAAGGGTGATGGTGTTTTTGATGATGATGACGACGAAGATGATGGCGATGGTGTTGGCTGTGGTATCAAACCAGACACACATATTATGCAATAAAATTAATGATAGATTCGGCCTTTTTTGGAAAAACTACAACTGGAAGTTCCAGCAACAACAATAGCGGTTTGCAAAAATGGTTTATTTTCCATGACAAAAAAGACCTCTGCAAAAACATTTAACCAAATTTGCTTATGGCGGATTTTATTTGAATTTGAAATGATAAGTTTGGATGCCACGGCATTGCAGGGCTTAGTAGAGAATTTCTAACTAAAGCAATAACATCGTGAAACGGTCTAACTAAACGAAAGGAAAAACTCAATTCCATTATTTATTAAAAAAGTTAAGTGAAGTGAAGTGACAAATGTTTTAAAGGCCATGGATTTACGGCGCATAATTTTCCTTTTTATAACCTGCATTTTGAGCTGTTGTAATTCACAAACCTATAGCCAAGGATATCGTTATCCTGTCCAAAGGCGAGCGGGTTATAGTTATACACCAACATCATATAATCGTGGGGCAGTTTCGGTGTCCAATAATCGCAATGCTTACTCGTCGGCCGCCAAACCATATTATCGCCAATCTTCAAGTGGTTATCGTTATCCTGATGGACAAAATTCCAATGTAGCTGTAAAAGGATATAGTTCAACAGCCAAGGATACACGTTATCCTGGTACCTATTCAACGGCATATTCATCACGGGGAACTACATCGTCGAGCACTCCCGTGAGGTGGTATGCCTCATCGGAGGATTACAAGCGTAACAATTACATTACATCTCCATCAACCATATCGCAAGCTTCCAATAACGAGGATAACAAAGAGGCATCACAAGACACCAAGGATTATTTGACAAATTCTTACAATGAAAACAACTCAAAATTGTCAGGGGATAAAAGCCGTTACCAATCAAGTCAAATTGATAAAACAGACACGGAAAATTCCAAATTTGCCGGAGCTGATAATCAGGAACAAGAGGATGAATCATCTCCACGCACAGCTTTGCAAATTAAGCGACGCAAATTGTTGAGACGACGTTTGGCAGCTGCAGCTGCTGCAAGAAATCGTTGCCTGGCCTATGGTCGTGATGCGGCGGCTAACAAAAATATTACACCCCCACCCAGGGAGCAAGGACGTTTTCTATTCGATGTGAATGTCTACAAGGTGTATCCCCAGGCTCCGGTGGGAGCTCCCCTGGGTTGTGGTGGTGGTTTTGGCGGTGGAGGTTTCGGTGGCGGTCTCTTTGGTGATGATTTAGGAGGCTATGGTGGAGGTCTTGGCGGTGGCCTAGGGGCCGGTGCTGGTTTAGCTGATCCCCTATTGGATCCGCTTTACCCTCCACCCTTAAATCAATTTTTAGGCTTATTTGCTCCTGGCATACTCAACAATGCCTTGGCCGTTACAGCACGACCCTTGGCAGATCCTTTGCCGCCACCCACAAATTCCGCCCAGGATCAAGACTTGCAAAATGACCCCGATGTAGATCCCGATTATCAGAGGCCAGTGCCGTTGCCGGTACGAAGACCAAGACCGAATAGGGTGTACTACGATTCAGCAGGAGCGGTAAGACACAATTTTGTTGCTCATTCTCTTTTATAAAATGTTGTTTAATATTTTCATTTTTTAGACACCCCTTACTCCAGCCCAATTGGTGGGCGGTGTGGCCACCACGGTCAACGGCATCATACAACAGCTGACGGGAAATGTCCAGCCGGTATATCAATCATCTTATCGATCGAGTACCTCCAACAGGTCCAATAGATATGGTTAAGAATAAATAACGGAAAATGTCCTATCAATCGAGTACCTCAAATAGGTCCAATAGATATGATTAAGAGTACTTTTTAAGAATATTGAATGTTTTTACGAACGATTTTACTAATTTTAAGTATTTTGTTTTTGTTGTTTTTGCAAAACCTATTCGAACATATGTTATATTATTGTTAATAAATTTTGTAAATTAAAATAAATTTATTTTTAAGGGATAATAATGCGGGCTACAAAAGTCGATTTTTTAATAATTTTTTAATAGAGTTTTTAATATTTTTTAAAGCCATAATTAATTTTTTAGGGGAACTTTAAAAAATTCTATTAAAGAGGACATTCAGAAGAAACGACACTAAAATGTACCAAAAATTGAATAATTTCTATTGGACAAGTGTAATTATGAAATTTGGAATGATAGTCACTGATGGAGTGCAAGATAGAAGAGCATTTGGAAATTCCAACTTGAAGGCTTCGAAAAGTTCCAAAATGGTATTAAAGTTCTAAAATGGTAACATTTGAAAATTATGTTAACGGATAGAGCTTAGAACTTGAAGTTTGGCGTTAGAATCAAGATTTGAGAGTAAGATCGATATATGAAGGTGTTTTTGGAAATGGAAAGTAAGTGTTCAAACTCTACTAAATGGTACTAAATTTGGAACAGTTTGGCTTATGGTGAATAGGTGAAGCTGGAATTTTGAAAATTTGTGTTGGGGTCCCGGTTGCTAGTAGATTTGTTGGTATTAGGATCGCTGATAATTTGCATTAGGGTAATTGTGCAAAAAATATATATGTATTTGGTATTTGTACGAAAAGTACTAAAATTAGAGCTGAAATCCTGTCATTTGATACTGAGGTCTCTGTTGGTATCCGGAATTGAGATATTGGTATCTGAAATTGAGATTCGGATTTTTTTTTTTTTTTTTGAAAATGCGTCCTATATTTGTACGAAAAGTACTAAATGGTAATAAAATTGGTATTGGGTAAAAGAATAGAGCTGAAATCCTGACATATCATACTGAGGTCGCTGTTGGCATCTGGAATTGAGATATGAAGGTGGTTTTGGAAATGTCTACGAAAAGTAGGGCTGGAATCCTAAAATTTGAT